AGTCACGCGAGATAGCAGATTGGCCATATTCAGCGCGGCTAGGTGAGCAGGCTCTTCGAAAACCCGGATCGTAGCAGTATCTTTCAATCTTCAGTAGCACAGACTACGTACATTTCATAGCGCGTCACCTAGACCCCAGTGGGTGTCTGTTCGATGGGCGAATATATAGCAGCCAAGAGCTTGGCATCGGCACTGATAAGTCCACTGAAGTACTCCCGGCAGGATACGAGAAGGTAGTTGGGTGGATGTGAATACCGGGCGCGCGGAGTAATTGCTGTTTATGGTCATTTCAGGTGGTTATAGTTGATGACAGTGGTAGCAGCATATGGCACGATGTTGACACTGATATCTGCTGTTTTCCGAGTGTTCCTCCGTACACCTTTATGAGGGATCATATTGCAGACATCCTCAACGGTAAGGCTAGGATGATCATCTCCAAGAATTCGTGACGTTCCCTCAACGATTTTAGGAACCTACGTTAACGATGAAGATCATTTCCTTCTCGACGATTTATTGCCGCAGCTCACGGCGATCGTGTCTAATATGAATAGTGCTTCCTGAATCGAACTCCGTGTCGTTCCTCCACCACCCTCGGCGGCATCCAAGGGTTTGACATGAGTTTGAATATCACGAGTTTGAGAAGCTCAGCTTCCCCATTTGAGCTACTATCTATGATGATATAATTACGTTGTACTATTACTGAACATAGCTATTTACAGTGAGCATCAATTCTTGTGTATCAAGATTGAAACATAGGAAATTGTACAGACGCGAGACGAATTGAACTATATGTCGCGTTGAAGTTCGGCAAATTGTAGTTTACGATAACTATCCTATTTCGAAAGCGGAAGCAACACATGAGAAAGCATCCGACGATAATTGTACGTTTACTCGCATTCTTCATCCGATAGTTTCAGAGTGAATGCATTAGTAGGAAATTAATCATCTTTTTAGCTCTCCTTAATGGTTACTGTCTTGAGTACCATCATGATCCTCATCTTCTTGTTGAGAAACAAACCCATCGCCTGGACCAGTAAACTCACAGGCAATTGGTCCAGTGCGGTGAATGTCCGGAGTTAGTATTTGAAATCTCGTAGTGGTGTATGGACAACTACTATGACCAATGATTCTTTCCTATATTATGGGGCCTATAATGTCCAACTTCTTGTGCCATAAATCCTGGAGACAATACCGGCGGCTCCGGTCCGGGGCTGAAGGCAGGGTCATAAGGTCACGATAAAGCATTAACACTCTGACGACGAACGCCTCAATTCTTGCGAGACCGAAATGCGAGAGCAAGAGAGAACAGTAAAGGCATAGTACCAGTACTATGCCGAAAATGATCCACCTCAGAAGAACTTTCGAGACCTACGTCTTCCCATATAAGGAGCGCCACTTGGGAGTCACTTACCATCATCCTCGGAATGTCTGAGTCGAACATCATATAGGAGAAAATAGTGAAAAGAAGCTGAATGTAACATCGCAAGGACATTGTGCTGATTGAATATTGCAACTCATCAAAAACACCATAACCAAACGTCTGTCATTCTCGACATAATTTGAACACCGCCGAAATGCATTCACTTCGTCACGGTGTGCTCCATTGCAACTATCTCTACTGTACAGCTAGTGTTAAATGTGACGGGCATTCGATTCAAAAATCCATTCGCGATGAATTCCTTCTCGTCGATCACTAAGCTCTCCGGGAGGAGTGTCCGCCGGCTTAGCATGCGGTCGGAATAAACCGTCGACGACAGTGTAGGCTATCTGAGATCAGAGAAGCTTGGCAGACTCGAAACTCCACAGAATTACTCTCATTTTCCGCCCCGTAGCGTTCCACCACTCAGCGAGATGCTCATCTACCCGGCCGTCTCGTAAAGCCTCTAAGCGATCCCAATTCTGGTTGGTGAGTATTTGACACGAATAGCCACCGGTCGTCAACTGTTTGCATAACAGTAATGTCCATGATACCTACAGAATGTTTTTGCTGTGGAGAATTCCGCGCGTACGCTGGCAAGATGCCGCCACAGACATCACGTCGTCAGACGTCGTCATGCGCGGCAAATTCGTATACCCCTAGCGAACAGAGAATAAGAGAACCCAAGATCGCCCTTAGTACAACGTTTGCTACTGCTCCCAGCCCATGCTCGGCTCGGCACTATCACAG